CCCATCCATTCCCCCCTATCTGCCCTTCTGGTAAATCTAGTCAGCCAGAGGTCCCTGTTCCAGGAGGATCAGCTGTTCCTCATCTACGGCAATCCATTGTCAGTATTCCTTTGGATAGAAATGGGGTCTGCTGTTCATTTTTCCAATAGTGTGTTGGGTTACTATCTGGAAGAGCCTTTATCCATCCTGGCCAACAGCTCGACTGAAGGTATCGCTTGTCTGGCTTTGCTGTTTGTCAAGTAACTTTTAGCTATATATATATATATGTGTGTGTGCATGCACCATGTACCTGCCTGACAGTAGTCAGAAGAGGACATTGGATCCTCTGGAACTGAAGTTACAAATGTTTGTTAGCCACTATGTGGGTGCTGGGAACCAAACGTGTAAGAGCAGCCAGTGCTTTTACTGCTGAGCCATCTCTCCAGCCCTTGGAGTTTTTAATCAAAGGTGCAGACAGTTTCATGGGCTTGAGAAGAAGGAATCTCCATGCCGATGGGCATCTACCTCTACCAAGTCCATTCCAGTCCTACCCCCACTTCCTGTGTGTTCTTTAACACAGGCTCTTACTATGTGGCCCAGGCTTCCTGCTTTAGTCTCCCGAACGTTGAGGGTTACAATTATGTACCACCACCGTTATTGATGTTCCGTGTTTATTTTTGTGGTTGAGGAGATGAAATCTAGGATCTTGAGCATGTTTTCCAACTGCTCTACCCCCAACCACACCCCAGCCCCTCACTGGAGGATTGTAAGGAAGCATTCTACCAGAGCTGCATTCCTCAACCCTCTCCACTTTATAGTTTGAGAAGAACAACTTATTTCTTGTTTTGAGAGGGCAACTTGGTCACAGTCTTGATTTCACTGTACTCCAAATAGACCTTGAACTTCTAATTTCTGCCTTAGCTCCCCAAGTAGCTGATAGCACACCTGCACTGCCAGTCCCAGCTTCTGGGGAAATACCTTAGAAGTTAATTTTTGAGGAGCTAGGGCTCAGTGGCCAAGAACACTGGGTGCTCTTGGGGAAGACCAGGGTTCAGTTCCTAGCACCCACATGGTAGTTAACAACCATCCACAACTCCAGTTCCAGGGAATTGATGCCCTCTTTTCACTTTCTGGCATTTCCACATGACATAGGTACACGTACATGCCTGGAGGCAAATAAATCACTCACACACATAAGAAAAATGAATAAATAAAAAACTAAAAATTTTTTTTTGTGGCTTTGCAAAATCTTTGGGGACTGGAGGGTAATGAATTTGGAGAAGTCAGTGACATTGCTCCAGTGTTTTCTTCCCCAGCTGTTTTCAGCTGCGCCGTGCCATTTAATTGTGAGGCACACTGCCTTCCAGCTGAGATCCCCACAGTGAAGTTTGTTCTCAAAGGGTTGGAGCAGGGAGGGGTTGACATTCCACGGCCTTGTCTGGGGGATGCTGGAGGGACTTGGAAGGGTTGTGACTGCTTAGGACACCTATGGTGCAGGCCAGCTGCATAGTAAGGGTTTCTGTGTGTGTATGTGTGTGAGATAAGGTCTTGCTGTGTAAGCCAAGCTGCCCTCAAACTCTCAATCCCCTGCCTCTGCCTCCTGAGTACTGGGATTATAGGTGTGTGCCTTTACATCTGATTGTTTTTTATATTATGTGCATGAGTGTTTTGCCTGCATGTATGTAATTATACCTGTACATGAAATGCCCATGGAAGCCAGAAGAGGATGTTGGATACTCTGGAACTGGGGTTAAGAATGATTATTAGCGCTGGGTGTGATGGCACACACCTGTATTCCTAACACTTGGGAGGCAGAGGCAGGTGGATCTCTCTGAGTTCAAGGCCAGCCTGGTCTACATAACAAGTTCGAGGCCAGCTGGGGTTACAGGGAGACCCTGTTTCAAAAAGACCAAAAAAAAAAAAAAAAAGAATGCAGGTGCACATGTATGAAAGTGCATTGTATGCTTGTCTAGAGCAGAGAAGTTCAACTTGGGTGTAGTTCTGGGCGTTCTCCACCCTTTTTTGTATTTTTCTAAAACATTTATTGTGTATGTTCATGCCTTGCATGTGTGTGGATCAGAGGAGAACTTGGGGGAGTTGAGTCTCCCCTACCTTCAGGTGGGTCATCATGCTTGGAAGGGGGCACCCTTACCGGCTGAAACATCCTGCCGGTGCTCCCTTTATATTTGAAGATGGGGCCTCATGCAGCCCAGATTGGCCATGAACTCATTACCGCCTGCGTCCACCCCCACCCAAGTGCTCCCAGGATTACAGAATTATGTCCCCATGCCTGGCTTTGGCCCTGTTTTTATTTTATCTTATTTATTTCGTTATTATTATTTTTGGTCTTTTTTGAGACAGGGTCTCCCTGTAGTCCCAGATGATCTGAAACTCACTATGTAGAACAGGCTGGTCTTGATCTCTGCCTCCCGAGTGCTGGGATTAAAGGCGTGCGCCACCATACCTGGCCCTTAGTTCATTTTTTGATTGACCAATAAAAACTGCAAAGCCAGGCTTGTTAGTGCAGGTCTGGAATCCTAGTTATCCAGGAGGCTAAGATAGGAGGATTGAAAGTTAAAGGCTAGCCTGGGCTACAGAATGAGTTCAGGGCTAGCCTAGGTAACTTAATAAAGCCTTATGCTAAATGTTTGTAGCCGCCATGTGGGTGCTGGGAATCGAACCTGGGTCCTGTGCAAGAGCAGTTGGTGCTCTTAACCACTGAGCCATCTCTCCAGCCCCTTTTTTTTGTTTGTATTTTATGTGCATGTTTTGCCAAGCATGTATGTAAGTGGGCCACGTGTTTGCAGTACCTGCAGAGGCCAGAAGAGGGCCATCAGATCACCTTGAACTGGAGCTACTGGGGTTATAGGCAGCTGTTAGCTGCCATGTGAGTGCTGGGAACTGAATGCAGGTCTCCTGCAAGAGCAGCCAGTGCTTTTAACCACTGAGCTGTCTCTTCACCTTCCGCGGCCCTGTTTTATGAGGGTGTTTGAGAGCAGGCAAGGGTCAAGGCACTGTTTGTGCTTCAGAAGTTTTTAAAGGTCTGTCTTAGATTTTCCTGTGTTCAAAGTTCACATTCTTCATCTGGTATGGTCCTTTGGCAATCATTAGTGAGTTCTCAGGCCTCTTTTGAAGATGATCTTACCTTAATGGTTGAGAAAACCTTAAAAATGAAGTCATGAGTAATAGAACTCCCACGTCTTTCATAAAAATTTTAGCTGGGCAGGTGATGCCTGTAATCCCAGCACTCAGGAGGCAGAGGCTCATCTGAGTCAAAGGCTAGTCTGTTCTACATAGTGAGTTCATGTCAGCTGGGGCTACACAGTGAGACTGTCTCAAAAAAATTTTTTTTCAATAGTCTCTTGTTTCCCCTGCCCCCATTTTCTTTCTACCAGTGCCTTTCGTTTTTCTATTTCTGTGCGGGGGGGTTTTTTGGTTTTTTTTGTTTTTGTTTGTTTGTTTGTTTGTTTTTGGTCTTTTTGAGACAGGGTTTCCAGCTGACTTGGAATTCACTATGTAGACCAGGCTGGCCTTGAACTCACAGAGATCCACCTGCCTCTGCCTCGTGAGTGCTGGGATTAAAGGCATGCACTACAATGCCCAGCTTGTTCCTGTATCTTTTATATTGAGTTGGTGTTTGCTCTGAGAGAGAGAGAGAGAGAGAGAGACTGACTCCTTATGTAGCTAGGGCTGCCAGTTCCTCCTGCCCCAGCCTCTGAGTGCTGGGATTACGAGGGTGCCTGAGGAAGGGCACTTGGGGCAGACCTCTGGCTTCCACACACATGTGCATACACAGACATATATGCACAGTTTTGCTTGTACTGTTGATGTGATGTCTTCTGGTGATTTGCGTTTTCCTGATGGCTAATGATGTACGTGCAGATTCACACACAGGTGAAACCGCCAGGTAGTGATTCTTCCAGGTGCTGTAGCATGGAGAAGGGGTGGGTCTGGTGTGGCTGTGTGGCGTGGCCAGAGTCCATGTGCTGAGCCAGCACAGGGTGCAGGGAGGTCTCCCTGTCTGAGCAGCTGTCTTCACCTGGCTTCCACCTTCCCTCTCAACAGGCCCACTAACGCCTCACATCACTGAGCCCAGGGACCCAGACCCCAGTCGAATGCAGATGCCGCAGAGCAACCCGCTTCTCCTGTCCTACACCCTGCAGGAGCTGCTGGCAAGGGACACAGTGCAGGTGGAGCTCATCCCTGAGAAGAAGGGCCTCTTCCTTAAGCATGTGGAGTACGAGGTTTCCAGCCAGGTAACCAGAAATCACTGGTGTCACTGTGGGCCTTGGAGAGCAAGGGGCAAGCCTGGTACAGGGTGCAGAGAGGGGAGTGTGAGGCAGGGTCTAGGGTCATCCAACATCCAATGACACAGTTGAGCTGCCTGGGGTAGGTTTTGCATGCGTGCTGGTCCCTGAAGCTGGTTCCAACATACTCAGGTGACTTCCGCCCTTACAACATTGTGACTGGAATTGTTTTCCTTTTTTTAAAAAATATATTTTATTTATTATTTTTATTTTATGTGTATGAGTGTATTGCCTGCATGTATGTGAGTGCACCTGTGTCGTGCAATGCTGCGGTGGTCAGAAGAGGGCTTCGGATTCCCCTGGAACTGGATAGCCGCTGTGTGGGTGCTGGGAATTGAACCCGGGTCCTCTGCAAGAGCAGTCAGTGCTCTTAACCGCTGAGCCATCTCTCCAGCCCCCTTTTTTCTTTTTTAAATTTATTTTTGTTTGTTGAGACAGGATCTCATTATGTAGCCCTGGCTGGCCTGGAACTCATGGGAATCTTCCTGCCTTGGCCTTCTGAGTGCAGGGAATTACAGGCCTGACCCACCAGGCCTGGCTTGTAGGAATCGTTTGTCTGAAAAACATAAACCCAAAACACAGCTGCCCCAGTGGGAGTTTGCAACATCAGCAGTTCCCCTGAGGATTGGAGACCCAGTCCAGTGGAGTCTGCTCCCCAGCATTGCCTCCCATCTGTAGGGCAGGACTGGCTCATGTCCTTGGCCCCCTTCAGTGACACTGCCTTTCTGCTGTCAGAGTGCCCAAGTGTCTGAGTTCATCAGACACAGCACTGTGGTGACAGGTTTGGTGCTCAGTGTGTGGTTTCCCAGTGGTACGTGGTCTTTCTGTGCCTTTATCCATTGCACTTGGGTGTCTTATTCAAGATGGGATGGATTCAGGGGAATTTTACTCTTTATCCTGTGATAGAATAGAATAGTTGGTAGCTGACACCATCCCCTGGTGCTATGTTGTCCTTGAGGTCTGGGGGACTTGAAGGGACAGAGTGGGGCCCATGCCCCTGGGGAAGGGTACAATTCTGGCTGCACCAAGCTGAGTTCAAAAAGTGAGTCCAGGGCCCAGCATGCAGGTGTTTGGTGTTCTGTCATGACTATGTGCTGTGTTCTTTTTTCTTTTAAAGACTATCTCACCATGTAACCCAGGTTATCCTGGAGGTCACTGTCTAGCCTTATTGACCATGAACTTACAGTCCTCTTCCCTCTACCTTCTAAGTGCTAGGATCACAGGTGTGGTCTCTGCCACCCTGTGTGCTCTGCAGAGTCAGGAATCACAGGACTCTTGTCAGCAGCAAAACAGTCCCAGTGCTTGTGCAAAGCTAAAGATGGAGGGCTGGGTGTGATGGTGCCCACCTTTATTCCCAGCCCTCTGGAGGCAGAGGCAGGCAGATCTCTGAGCTTGAGTTCCAGGTCAGCTGGGAAGGAAGACACTGTCTTAAAAAAACAGAGAAAGAGAACATGTCTATCTGGCATCCTGTGGTGTCACCTCACCCCAGTAGAAGCTGAGAGAACTGGTTGTGGGGTGCCGTTTGGAGTGAACCAGCCCCTCCTCCCAGGCCCCACTTGACCCAGTGTAGAAAACTGCTGCTGCCTGCTGTCTTGGCCTTCTGTTGTGTTGCAGGCTGTTTTCCTGTTTCTTTTCTTTTTAAAAAAATTTTTTGGGGGGTAGGGGGTTGGGGCACGTGCCACAGTGTCTGTGTGGTAGTCAGAAGACAACTTTCAGGAGTCAGATTCTTTCTATCACGTGGGTACTGAGGCTTGAACTCAGGTCACACACACACACACACACACACACACGTGGAGGTCAGATAGAAGCCAGATGTCTTATTCTGTCGCTCTCTGCCTTATTTGTTGAGACAGGATCTATCGTTGACTTGGAGCTTGCTGTTGCAGCTACACTGACTGGCCAGTGAGCTCCAGAGACCATCAGTTTCTGATCTCCTAATGCTGGGGTTACAAGCCCATGCTGCCATATCTACCCTTTACATGGGCTCTGTGAATTTGTTTTTTCTTGGGAGTGGGAGCCATAGCCTTAGCTGGTCTGGAACTTGCTATTAGACCAGGCTGGCCTCCATCTCAAAAAGAGATCCACCCTGCCTCCTGAGTGCTGAGACTAAAGGCATGTGCCTCCATTCCCGGCTGTGAATCTGAACTCAGGTCCTCATACTTGTGTGGCTAGCACGTTACCCTCTGAGCCATTTCCCCAGCCCCCAATGTAGTACCTTTGAAAGATAGGACAGTGCCCATCTAGGCAGTAACAGCTCATGTGTAGTGTTGTCTTGTTTTTTTGAGACAAGGTAGCCCAGGCTGACCCTGAACTCAAGATCGTCCTGCCTTAGCCTCCCAAGTACTGGGACTATAGGGGTGCATACCACTACCCCTGGCAAGGATTTATCTTTGTGCATGTGTGCATGTGGGTGTGCATGTGTATATGGACACCTGAGATCAGCTCCGGGTGTTGTTTCCCAAGCACTATCCACCTTGTTTTTTGACTTTTACCTTGAAGTTGCCAGTGTAGTTATTGAGTCCTTGGACTGTCTGTGCCTCTCAATGCTAGGGTTACAGGCGTGCGCCCCCACACTCAGCTTTTACTGGCTGCTGGGTATCCAGACTCAGGTCTTCATGCCTGTACAGCAAGCACTTTGCCTCCTGAGATGTCTCCACAGCCCCATGCTTTATTTTGTAAGGGCAGATGATACCCCTGAGCAGTGACAACTCCTGTGAAGAGCCTCGTCAAGGCAGTGAGCTTTCCAGGTATCAGAGGTTGCATTTCTTTTTTCTTCCTTTTTTTTTTGTTTAATTTTATTTATTATTTTTATTTTATGTGTATGTGTGTATTGCCTGCATGTAGGTAAGTGCACCCATGTCGTGCAATGCCTGCAGAGGCAAAGGCTTAAAGAATCTTCCAGTGAGGGACTGGGGCATGGCTCAGTAGTAGAGCACCTGCCTAGGATCGCCCAGTGAGGGGCTTGGGGCGTGGCTCAGTGGTACATAGCACCTGCCTATAAGAAATGGTTTCTGTTTTGCAGCGCTTCAAATCCTCTGTGTACAGACGGTACAATGACTTTGTGGTCTTCCATGAAGTGCTGCTCCACAAGTTCCCGTATCGCATGGTGCCAGCCCTTCCACCTAAGAGAGTGCTGGGAGGTAAGGCAGGGTACAGGGAGGCCTGATGGGTGGGGGCAAGCTGTCCTCTGGGGTGGCATGGTGCTGTGTGGTCCTGTTGCAGCCCAGGATGCTGCTTCTGCCTCATGGTCCAGATGGGGCTGGCAGTAGGACCGCACGGTACACTGCCACCTTGGCTATTCTGGGGTTATAGCTATGGCTGAGCCTTGCTCTGGTGTGGGAAGGTGGCCCACCTCAGGAGCCTTCTGGCTGGATGACTAGCATGTAGGGAGAGTCACATCTCAGTGCTGCTGCCATGGGTGCTTTGCATTCTGTGAGTATCATTAGTGACTTCACTGCTTTGCAGGGTGCCGGCCATCCCTGGATCTTATTGGTCATCCACAGATGACATCAAAACCCAAATAAAACTTGACTGACATTTGTTACTTCTCTGTTGCTGACAAAAGCAACTTAAGGAAGGAAGGGATTATTGTGACTCACAGTATGAGGGTACAGTACATCATGGTGGGAAGGCATGGTGGCAGGAGCATGAGGCAGCTGGTCACATGGCATCCACAGTCAGGAAGCAGAGAGAGATGGATGCTGCTGCTCAGCTCGCTGTCTCCTTTTTATTCAGTCCAGGACCCCAGCCTATGGGATGGCCTTCCCCGCTCAGATACTCCTTCACACACATGCCCAGAGGTTTGCCTCCTAGGTGATTATAGATCCTATCAAATTGCCAGTCAGCACAAACCGTCAAATGGATAAGCCAGGTATAGTGGTGCACACAAACCCCAGCATTCAAGTGGCTGAGGGAGGAGGGTCAAGAGTTCAGGCCAGTCTGGTCCACGTTAGACCTTGTCTCAACAGCAACAAGGTAAAATTTTATGCAGAGCCTGCCAGTTCACTGTCTATTTCCCCAGCTACCCCAGTGGAACTGCAGCTGCACATGGGGAGCAGCTTGAGACACACCCACTGGTCCAGTTTCCACCATCCTGAACCCCCTTAACATAACCATGTCCTCTTGGCGGCCACTGGGTAGCTCAGTTTCTGAAGACATGGCTGCCTGGGCATCCCTTTGTGGCCTATGGGACAGGCCATGCTCATTACCGACCAAAGCGTGTGGCAGGAAGCAGAATCCAGTTGGATGGAGTACTGGGGGGACAGATCCTTGCTTGCCAGCACCCAGCATCCAAGCTGACTGTGGCAGAGTTTAGTGCCTGAAAACTGCAGGCAAATTTGGAGTCACGTGACTCAGCCTTCAGGACCTCTGCAGGGCCTGAGGGGAGGTGGGCCTCATCTCACTATATTTTAATTTAATTTTATTTATTTATTTTTTTTGTCTTTTTTGAGACAAGGTCTCCCTGTAGTAAAAAACTGTGCCAGTCCCTATGCCCACACCCCATGACACTATTTTTTCAATGTATTTTTTTCTTTTAAAAGTTTATTTATTTTTATTTTATCTATATGAGTGTTTTGCACTGCATGTATATAAGAGTGCTGTGTGTGTGCAGTGCCTGTGGAGGCCAGAAAAGTGCATAGGATCCCCTGGAACTGGAGTTATGGACAGTTGTTAGCCGTCATGTGGTTACTAGGAACTGAACCCTTCAATAAGAGCAGCCAGTGCTTTTAACCACTGAACCATCTCTCCAGCCCCCTCAGTGTAGTTTTCAATAACTTTTTAAAGTGTTTTCAGGAAAGGGTGTTTTGTTGGCCTCCAGCTTGCTATGTGGCTGAGGCCGGCCTTAAACATCTGATCTTCTCACCTTCCCCTTTACCTCCCAAGGGATTATAGGCATCTGCTACCCTACCCAGCTCAATTTTTTTTTTGGACAGGGTCTCACTATGTAGCCCTGGATGTCCTAGAACTCACTGTGTAGACCAGGCTGGCCTTAGACTCACAGAAATCCACCTGCCTCTGCCTCCTGAGGGCTGGGATTAAAGTTGTGCACCACTATACTTGATTTTAAAATATATACTACTTTAAACAGCCATTTCTGTCTGTGGTCAGATTTAAATATACATTTTTATTCTTTTCTCTGAAATAGAAACGTGTACCCAAATTAAAGCAGTTCTTTGGGCTCGGGGATTGCGTGGCATGTATAAGACCCTGGGTTGGAACCTTGGTATCACAGAGAAAAAGCAATTGGATTTATGACAGAAAGGTGCTTACCGAGCAAGACTGATGACCTGAGTTAGATCTCTGGAGCCCACAGTAGAACGAGAGAACTGACTACCAAAAGTTGTCCTAGTCTACAAGTGCATTGTGGAATAGGTGTGTGCATGAGTGCACGCGTGCACGCGCGCGCGCACACACACGTACCCTCACACGCATCATGCATGCACAATAATAATAAACTAATAAAAGTTAGGAGTGATGAGAACTGGAAAGTTGACCCCAGGACACCTTTCTTTTAGGTGGCTGTGAGGGGTCACACCTGGCTCACAGATTTTTTTTTTTTTTTTGGTCTTTGTTTTTTTGAGACAGGGTCTCCCTGTAGCCCCAGCTGGCCTGGAATTCAGTATGTAGACCAGGCTAGCCTCAAATTCACAGAGATCCACCTCCCTCTGCCTCCCAAGTGCTGGGATTACAGGCATGTAATTTTTGTCTTTTTTTGGTCTTTTTGATGAATCGCTTTTTGTTGGTTGTTTGAGACAGGGTTTTGTTCTGTAGTCCAGCCTGGCCTCAAACACTCTGTGTAGCCCAAGCTGGACTCCATCTTCCTGTTACCTTCCTGCCTATCTCCCAAGTGCTAGGAACATATGTGTTTACGACCTCACCCAGCCTCCCAGTGCTGTCCATTGAACCCGAGTGATCTTGGCCATCCCTGTACCCATATGGGAGTGGGGGGCTAGGGGGCTCAGTTGCCCTTTGTGTTCTTGGTGCATATTGAGCATTGTACTCTTGACTGGGGCAGGCCACTGTGACCCTCTGCTAAGTTGCTGGGGAGCCTGCTCAGTGTGGGAGCCTTGGGGACTCTATGGTGACCTGGTACTCCTCTCCAGCTGACAGGGAATTTATTGAGGGGCGCCGGAGGGCCCTGAAGCGCTTCATCAACCTGGTGGCCCGGCACCCGCCATTCTCAGAGGACACTCTGCTCAAGCTCTTCCTGTCCTTCAGTGGCCCAGTAAGTGTGTCCTTAAGGTCCTGTTGTGGGTGGCATTCTGGGGTCCAAAACTGTCATTTTATCCTTTACTTGGAACCTTGCCTCACACTGTGGCTTAGACTGGCACAGGCTGGGCTCTCACTAGAGGTGATCCTCCTGCCTTAGTCCACTAAGTGCTGGGATTTCAAGCATCAGCCACCATGCCCAGCTTTTATTCCATCGTTGACCCGTGTTTCTTCTGTCCCCTGTGCCCAATTTGGATGTCTGAAAAGAATTTGTTTGATTGCACGGACAGAACAAGACTTGCTTTCTTTTGAAGGGTGGACTGGGCGTCATTTTAAAGCGGCCTCCTTGTGACTTTGGAGGATTTTCTGTACCATGTGGGAATCACAGGATGTCAGTATATGGTCACTTTGGGGGTTGAGGGTTAGTGTACAGAAGGGAAGATGGAGGCTAGGGAGATGGCTTGGCGGTTAAGAGCATGTACTGCTTTTGCAGAGGACCCGAGTTCAGCTCCCAGCCTCCCCATCAACTCTAGCTACAGAGGAGCTGCTACCCTCTTCTGGGCTCCACAGGCACCTGCACTCATGTGCACAAACCCCACACACAGACACATTAAAAATACAGTAAATTTTTTTGTGTGTGGGTCACCCAAACATAATACTAAAAATATAATAAATCTTAAAAAAAAAAAAAAAAAGCAAAAAGAGGGGGGGAGGTCAGAAGGGCTCAGCCTTTCGGAGGTGTGTCCAGGCCCAGGCCGGTGGGTGTGTTGTGGGGAGGTGTGCCCAAAGCAAAAAGAGGGTGGGATGGTTTGGAGGGTCTGTGGAGGGGTTAGAAATTGTGTGAGTCAGTTGTGTTTGCTTGAAACCAAAGCATAAAGGTAACTCTGAGGCCCTCTGGAGGAATGGGCTTCTCTCCAGCCGAGCTGAGGTAGAGATCCATATCTGGAGAAAATGCTGCCAGCCTTCCCTGGCAGACAGGCTCAGTGATGGGTGAGCAGAGAGGGGAGGGAAATATGCTTGAGTGGATACTGGGGGGAGGCTGGCCCCCCTTTCCCAACCGCAGGGCAGGGCACATGGCTCAGTCGGAGTCAGCACAGCTTTGTCGTTTTGGTTTTGGTTTCTGGTGTTTGTGTGTTGTAAGTGTGGGGATGTACATGTCTGTGCCCATATACTGAGGTCAGAGGAGAATGTTGGGTGTCCTGCCCTGTCACTCTCCACCTTACTCCTGTGAGACAGGGTCTCACTGAACCTGTACTAGGCTGACAGCCAGCTTGCTCCAGCCATCCTCCTGTCTCTTGCTTCCCACAGTGCTAGGGTTAAAGGCACGTGTAATTAGCCTTTTACGTGGGTGCTGGGGGTTTGAACTCAGGTTCTCATGTTTGAATAGCAAACACTTCTACCCACTGAGCCATGTCCCCAACCCCAACCCAACTTCTGTACTAGATCTTGCTTCTCTGAGGGGCAGGAAGGGCCTCTGACTTCTGTGGGAAGGTCATAGGCTTTCTCTAGGTTACTCCTACCCCCCAGTGCCTGCCCACTCATAGCAGATAGTCTGTAGATACTTGCAGCCTTTTTTGTTTGTTTTTGTGGTGTTGCCCTAGAACCTGGAGTCTCATGCATGATACATAGGTGCTGCTGGCCACTGAGCCACACTCTCAGGCCTGGTGGGGCCCTTGAGCCTGGGGGGCAGTCAAGTGATTGAATTCCAGAGCAGGAATGGGGTACCATCTGGGAGCCCCCTGCACTCCAGGCAGAAGACTGGAAGGCCGGGTGCAGAGGGAATGGGCTTTCCTTATGGGGATAGGAAGCTCCCTGGTGTCCTTGTCTGTCCATGGTCGTTGTGTTCACATAGCGTTCCCTGGCCTCAGTTTCCTTTTTTGGTGAAAGGACAGAATTGGAGATGATCTCTAAGCATCTCTGAAGTAATGAGGTCTTCCACACGGAGGTGGCTTCTGGCTATGTATTCTTGTGTTTTCCTGGTGGTTCCTTATTTGAAGGCTTAACTTTGCCAGTGTGGCCTCGTAGCCTGGGCCAGACCACCCGGTTAATCACAGAGTTACCGTGGATTTGTTCACAGGAAGAAGAAAACTCTTTTCCCTTCCTTTGCTGCACAGACTCTGAAGGCCTTGTGGATCCCATGTGTGTCTCTGGGGTCTGGCTGGGCCTGTTGTAGATGGAGCTCTGGGATTCTGGAGCAGGGCCTTGTTCTGTTCTGCACTTGGTTTGACTCCTCTTCTGTCTTTCCTGTAATCGGTAACTGTAAAGAGATTCTGGAATGCTGATGAACTAGCAAATGCACGGGGACAGGTTTCTTTTCAGGAGGGACTGTCTGGATTGTTTTGTGTTTTTTTGTTTTCTTTTGTTTTGTTTTGTTTTTTGCAGTTTTTTGTCTTTTGAGACAGAGTCTGGACCTTAGTCATCCTTCTGCTTCACCTTTCTGAATGCTGGGATCACAGGCATGTACCACCATGCCCAACAATTTAATTAATTGTCTTTTTTTGTATGTCCGTGTGATCATGTGTGTGTGTGATTGTGTGTGTGGTGTGTGTGCAGGTGTGCATGCCTGTGTGCACATCCATGTGTGTACGTGGAGACCACAGGAGGACGTTGGGCCCTTCTGACTGCCTTATCCCTTATTCTCACTGAACCTGGAGTTACACTGATAGCCCGGAGCCCCAGCCATCGTCCTGTCTCCACCCCGTAGTGCCGGGGTTACAGGCTCGTGTAGCTAAGCGTGGTTTTTCATGTGGGGGCTGGGGATTGCATGTGTGGCCCTCATGCTTGGGTAGCCAAGTGTTCTGGCCCACTGAGCCATCCTGCCCTCCCCTCCCTATTTTATCTATTTATTTGATGTTTCTTGAGATGGGATTCTTTTTTTTCTTAAAATATTTATTATTTTTATTTTTTTGTGTATTAATATATTGCCTGCATGTATGTGAGTGAGTCTGTGGCCTGCATTGCCTGCAGAGGTCAGAATACGGCATTGGATTCCCCTGGAACTGGAGTTATGCGTGGTTGTTAGCCACCATTTGGGTGCTGGGCATTGAACCCAGGTCCTCTGTAAGAGCAGTGAATGCCCTTAATCACTGAGCCATCTCTCTAGCCCCGAGATGGGATTCTTGCTATATAGCCCAGGCTAGCTCAGAACACTCTTTATCTCCTGCCTCAGCATCCCCAGTACTGGAATTACAGGCCAGTAGGCCCAGCTCGTGTTGGTTGGGCCTCTCAGTAACTTGCTTGCTCTCACCCTGGTGTTGGCAGTGGTGGGAAAGGGTGAAGCTGTGTCTTTACTTTTCTAGGACCTGCAACATAAGCTCAAGGAGACGGCCCAGTGCGTGGGAGATGAGTTCATGAACTGTAAGCTGGCTGCTAGCGCCAAGGTAGTTTTCTGATTTTGGGTATTCCTTCCCCTTTTGCCCAGAGCAATGGTAGTGCCAACCCTTGACAGTCCTCACTGTGCCGGTCTGGGTGTCGGACACTGCAGGCTCCACCATACATTCTTGTTTGACCCCTGGCAGCAGGCTCTGCCTGCCTTAGATACGCAAACAGGGTCTATCTTCTCAACACCCTTTTAGGACTTCCTCCCAGCTGACATCCAGACTCAGTTCGCCATGAGCCGGGAGCTGATTCGAAACATCTACAACAGTTTCTACAAGTTGAGGGACAGGGCCGAGCGGATTGCATCCCGGGCCATCGACAATGCTGCCGATCTTCTCATATTTGGAAAGGAGCTCAGGCAGGTGACCCTGTGGGGACTCTGGGGTGAGTCAGGTGGAGGGTGGGGTCTGCAGCCCCTGTTTTCTGTGATCATCCTGACCACCATCCTGACCCCTTTCATTGCAGGGGGTGGGGAGTAGGTCAGCAGGTGTGGGTCACCGAAGGTAGCATTAGGGGTTTAGGCAGAGCAGTGGATCCTTACATGCCTCCCATAATTCCCAGCAGCAGTCTTTCTGGTACTTTCTGTTGCTGTGGTAAAATACCTGATAATAGCAACTTAAGATTTCAGATCAGAGTTTGGAGGGAGGGCAGGGCACAGGAGCAGAAGGCAGCTAGCTGGTCACAGTGCATCCCCAGTCAGGAAACAGATGCTCGGCTTGCTTTCTCCTGTTTTTGTTTTGTTTTGTTGAGGCAAGTTCTCACTATGGGGCCTTGACTGGCCTGGAACTCAGTATGTAGACCAGGCTAACCTCAAACTCAAGAGATCTTCCTGCCTCTGCCTCCTGAGTGCTGGGATTAAAGGCACCGCCACCTCTAGGTTCCCTTTTTCTTTTTTATTCACTCCTGCATCCAGACTAGATCTTCCTAATCAACCCTCTGGAGAAATCCCCTCATATACATGGCCAGAGGGTTTATTTCCATGGTGATTCTAGATGGCGATCCTGCCCCCCTGCACATTGGCCACCTTGGGTCTCCTTAGCAACACAGTGATTCTCTGCATCTGGGTTAAGGCCTGAGACCCTACCATCTTCCAAGCATCCCTTCTGAACTTTCCAAGGAGTGCAGACCCTTCTAGGATGGGAGCACGGACCTCTTAATGGAGTACTGACTCCTCCTGGGAACACTCATCTAGGGAAGGGACAGGCAGTTGAGTGTGTATTTTGTTTCTGCAGTGCTTTAGGCTCCGATACAACCCCCCTGCCTTCCTGGGCTGCTGTGCACCTCAGCATGTGGGGCTCCCTGAAGCAGGCGCTGAAGGGCTTGTCGGTGGAGTTTGCACTGCTTGCGGACAAGGCTGCACAGCAGGTGAGTGGCTTCCCTCTTCACAGCCCCTTACTAAAAGCTTAGTGGAGGACACTTTGGGTTAGTCTGACTTTGGAGCTCTCGAGCACTGTGTGAATGAGCTTCTGTTATGAGCGCAGAGCACCTGTGCCCATCTATTTCGGGTGGCTCCCCACGAGCTTCTGAGAGGGCGGCTGGTGACAGAGAACAGAGTGGTGTCTTGGCTTTGCTGAGTTCAGACAAATCTGTCCTTGCAACTCAGCTGTAATCTTGCATTAGGAGTCTGCTTCTAGGTGGACCATGTTTCGCATTGTGCCAGCCTGTACTTGGCAACCAGTGTCATTACCCATCGGAATAATTTAGTTCTCAGCACCCCAAGAGACTCCCTTCTCTTTCCTCCTTTCTCCACCACATCCATTTGATATCACAATGTGCTACTGCTGTATGGACAAGAGCTGCCTTTAATTAATACAATAATTTTTTTTGAGATGCCTTAGAATCCACTATGTAGACTAGGCTGGCCTCAATCTCACAAGAGATCTGCCTGCCTCTGCCTCCTAAGTACTGGAATTAAGCCCATGCCCTGTGTTTAGTTTTAAACTTATTATCTTTAATATTATTATTTTGTTGCAATAGGGTTGAACCCAGGGCCTTGTGCAGTCTAGGCAGGTGCTCTGCCAGTGAGCCACACCCCCAGCCCCTCACTGGGGGAGTCTAGGTAGGGGCTCTACCACTGAGCCACACCCCAGCCCCACACTTGAGGAGTCTAGGCAGGGGCTCTACCAGTGAGCCACGCCCCAGCCCCTCACTGGGGGAGTCTAGGCAGGGGCTCTACCACTGAGCCACACCCCAGCCCCTCACTGGGGGAGTCTAGGCAGGGGCTCTATCACTGAGCCACACCCCAGCCCCTCACTGGGGGAGTCTAGGCAGGGGCTCTATCACTGAGCCACACCCCAGCCCCTCACTGGGGGAGTCTAGGCAGGGGCTCTATCACTGAGCCACACCCCAGCCCCTCACTGGGGGAGTCTAGGCAGGGGCTCTATCACTGAGCCACACCCCAGCCCCTCACTGGGGGAGTCTAGGCAGGGGCTCTATCACTGAGCCACACCCCAGCCCCTCACTGGGGGAGTCTAGGCAGGGGCTCTATCACTGAGCCACACCCCAGCCCCTCACTGGGGGAGTCTAGGCAGGGGCTCTATCACTGAGCCACACCCCAGCCCCTCACTGGGGGAGTCTAGGCAGGGGCTCTATCACTGAGCCACACCCCAGCCCCTCACTGGGGGAGTCTAGGCAGGGGCTCTATCACTGAGCCACACCCCAGCCCCTCACTGGGGGAGTCTAGGCAGGGGCTCTATCACTGAGCCACACCCCAGCCCCTCACTGGGGGAGTCTAGGCAGGGGCTCTATCACTGAGCCACACCCCAGCCCCTCACTGGGGGAGTCTAGGCAGGGGCTCTATCACTGAGCCACACCCCAGCCCCTCACTGGGGGAGTCTAGGCAGGGGCTCTATCACTGAGCCACACCCCAGCCCCTCACTGGGGGAGTCTAGGCAGGGGCTCTATCACTGAGCCACACCCCAGCCCCTCACTGGGGGAGTCTAGGCAGGGGCTCTATCACTGAGCCACACCCCAGCCCCTCACTGGGGGAGTCTAGGCAGGGGCTCTATCACTGAGCCACACCCCAGCCCCTCACTGGGGGATTCTAGGCAGGGGCTCTATCACTGAGCCACACCCCAGCCCCTCACTGGGGGATTCTAGGCAGGGGCTCTACCACTTTTTACTCTTTACTTTTTACTTTTTTTTTTTTTTTGAGACTGGGTCTTACTAGCCTTGAACTTGTAATCCTCCTGTCCCATTCTGAGTAGCTGGGAATACCTGTCTAGGACACCACCCAGCTACAATTTAAATAAGCTAATATCCTTGTTGAAACTGCTCTCTGCTGAGCCATCCAGCTCTGCAGTCATCTGTGACAATCCACGTGCTAGGGACTCTGGGGTTTTTCCAGCTGGAGTCTGGAGGCTCAGGTGGGAGAAAGCCCGGGATTCCCTTCCTCTCTGGCCTCAAAGCCAGTGTGTTCCCTTTAGAAACTAGTTAGTTTAGGATTGTGCCTGTGTGTGTGTGTGTATGTGTACACATATACCAGTAGAAACCAGTTAGTTTAGGATTGTGCCTCTATGTGTGTGTGTATGTGTGTGTACACACGTACCAGTACATATGCACGTGTTTGCATGGGTGTGGAAGTTAGAGGACAGCCTTATGTGTCATCCTCAAGAATGCTGTTCACCTCCTTTGGAAGATCACTCGCTTTGGACTTCACTAATTAGTCAGCCAGCCTAGTGGTCCTCGTGTCTTTCTCCCTAGCACTGGGAGAGCAGGTGTGTGCCTCTGCACTGGCATCTTTACATAGGCTCTGGAAGTTCAAACTCATGCTCATGAGGCAAACACTTTACACACTGAGCCACCTCCCCAGCCCTCAGCCTTGGTGTCTTTTTTAAAAAATTAATTTTTTCCTTTTTGAGACAAGGTCTCCCTGTGGCCTTAGCTGGCCTGGAACTCACTGTGTAGACCAGGCTGACTTTGAACTCACAGAGATCCGCCTACCTCTTCCTCCTGAGTGCTGGGATTAAAGGCGTGTGCCACCATGCCCAGCAAAATTTCTTTATGTATGTATGTATGTATGTATGTATGTATGTATGTATGTATGTATGTATGTGTGTGTGGGTACATGCACCTACATGTACTTGCCCACAGAAGCCAGAAGAGGTTGTCTGATTCTGGAGAGCTAGAGTTACAGACAGTTGTGAGCCACCCACAACTCTAGTCATCTGGGGGGGCAGCAAGTGCTCTTAACTGTGAACCATCTCTCTCCAGTCCCCTTGTGTACGGTCAGAGGACAACCTTCAGGAGCCCATTCTCTCCCCCACTCTGTTGGGACACAGTCTCTTGTTTCTTCTGCTGTGTGTGTACTCAGGCTAGCTGGCCTGAGAGCTTCTGGTTGAGTCTCTCGGCTGTGCATTCCAACCTCTCTGTAGGCATGCTGCGGGATTACAGTACCTCTTCATCTGGCATTTTTGTGTGGGTGTTGTGGCTTGAACTCAGGTCCTCAGTCTTGTGCAGCAGGTGCTTTTTCCGCCATCTCGATGGCCCCAACTATTTTCTAATAACCCAGTGAGCCTTTCCTCCAGGCTTCTGTGCAAAATACATAAATGAATGAGTGTGGTGGCATAATCTCTCTTTTTTTTTAAAAAAAAATACTTATTATTTTTATTTTATGTGTATGCATATATTGCCTGTGTGTATGTAAGTGCACCCATGTCATGCAGTGTCCGAGGAGGACAGAAGAGGCTATTGGATCCCCTGGAACTGGGGTTACAGACAGTTGTTAGCTTCCATGTAGGTGCTGGGATTTGAACCCAGGTCTTCTGCATGAACAGCCAGTTCTCCAGCCCCAATAGTGTACTCTTTCAACCGCAGCACTTGTGAAGCAGAGGCAGATGGGTCTCTGTGAGTTTGAGGCCAGTCTGATCTACATAGTGAGTTTCAGGCCAGGGCTACATAGTGAGACCCTGTCTCAAAATAGATAGATAGATGATAGACAGACAGATGATAGATAGACAGATGATAGATCGATAGATAGATAGATGATTGATAGATAGATAGATAGATAGATAGATAGATAGATAGATAGATAGATAGATAGATAGATCGATCGATCGATCGATCGATCGATCTATCTGTCACAAGACCTTGGTTCTCTATACACTCAGCAGGATGCCTCTGGCCAGGTGCCTGTGCTCTGGCAAGCACAGCACAAAAAGTATAGATTCTGAGGGCCTTTCTGAGATGATTCTCTCTGAGTGCTAAACTTCCATCTTGAAGCTGACATCCAGGCCTGGGCTCTGGGTGGGAGGGAGTAGCTTGTGACTGCTCCCAACTCTGTGCTTTCTTGATATTGCACAAGTTCTTTTTTGAAACTTCAGGGGAAGTACTGCTTACTAAATACTCCTCCCTGTCCTTGGGTACATTGGAATTAATGGAATTTTCTTTTGCTTAGTTTTGTGTCTTTTATATTTTTTAGATAGGGTCCCACTATGCAGCCCTGGCTAGCTTGGAACTCACTGTGTAGACCAGGCTGCCCACAAAGTCATAGAGATCTGCCTGCCTCTGCCTCCTGAGTGCAGGGATTAAAGGTGAGCACCACCGTACCCAGTCTCATGTCTTACATTTTTCTGGGACAGAATTTTCTGAAGCTGGCCTGCTACTCACTATGTAGTCAAGGTTATTCTCCAGCTTGTGATTGTCCTGTCTCAGTCTCCAGCTTGTGATTGTCCTGTCTCAGTCTCCTGAGTACTGAGTTTACAGTACTGAGTTTACGGATGAGCACCAACATTTCCAGCTTAGGGTGTGTGTGTGTGTGTGTGTGTGTGTGTGTGTGTGTACGCGTGCAGAGACTAGACGATGGTGTTGGGTGTCTTACTCTCTCTGCCTTTCTCTCACTCTGCCTTACTCGCTTGAAACGATCCCTGGCTGAGCCTGGAGCTAGGCTGGGGACCAGCAAGCCCCAGTGGTCCTCTTGTCTCTGCCTCCCACCCTCAGCATTGTTACAGGCATGCAAGTGGCCATGTACAGCTTTTATATCAGTGCTGGGATCTGAACTGAGATTTTTTTTTTTTATGTGTATGAGTGTATTGCCTGCATGTATGTGAGTGCACCCGTGTCATGCAATGCTGCAGAGGTCAGAAGAGGGCTTCGGATTCCTCTGGAACTGGAGTTAAGGATGGTTTGTAGCTGCCATGTGGTGCTGGGAATCGAACCTGGGTCCTCTGCAAGAGCAGTCAATGCTCTTTAACTGCTGAGCCATCTGCAGCCCCTGAGTTGAGATTTTTAAGCTAGCACATGAAGTGTTCTCACTTGCTGAGCCATCTCCCCTGCACCTATGTTATGCATTTCTTTTCTTTTTTTAATATTTTATTAGTTTTATTTTATGTATATGAGTATATTGCTTCCATGTATGTAAGCACCCATGCTGTGCAGTGCCTGCAGAGGTCAGATAGATGGCATTGGATCCTCTGGAACTGGAGTTAGGACAGTTGTTAGCTGCCATGTTGGTGCTGGGAATTGATCCTGGATCCTCTGCAAGAGCAACCAGTGCTCTTAACTGCTGAGCCATCTCTCTAGCCCCTTCTTTTCATAAAAAAATAGCCCTGGCTTCCCTGAAACTTGCTCTGTAGGCCAGGCTGTCTGTGGCAGCTATGAACCATCCTTAACTTCCAGTTCCAGGGGAATCTGATGCCCTCTTCTGACCTCTGTGGTATTGCACACACGTGTGTACTCACAGACATGTGGGCAATACACTCATACACATAAAATAAATTTTATAAATAAAATATAAAAATTATAAAAATAAATTATAAAATAAATTTTATGTGTATGAATGTTTTGCCCGCATGTCTGTGAGTATACACATGTGTGTGCAGTGCCTGTGGAAGTCAGAAGAGGGCATCAGATCCCCTGGAACTGGAGTTACAGATGGTTGTTAGCTGCCACGTGGGTGTTGGGAACCGAACCCGGGTCCTCTGCAACAGAGCAGCCAGTGCTCTTATCTGCTGAGCCATCTCTCCAGCCCCCTGTAGTGTGCATTTCATTAAGGTATGTGCACTGTTGGTTTGGAGTTTCATATACACAGATGGGAAGGACATGGTGGCAAATAAGTCAGGCAGGGAAGCCCCCAAGTGCCCTGTCTACTGCATGGGAAGAAGCCTTGGCCTGGTCAGCTGGGAGTGAACAGCTGTGGCCAGCAGTATTTCCTTTTCTTGTTTGGTCTGTTTTGTGGAGTTTGCATGTGTTTTTGGGTGCACATGCATCTGTCTGTATATTGCTGTGGAGGGCAGAGGTTGACATCCAGTGTCTCCAGATTTTTTTTGTTTTTTTATGAGACAGGGTCTCCCTAGTAGCCCCACCTAGCCTTGATCTCACAGAAATCTGCATGCCTCTGCCTCCTGAGTGCTTAGATTAAATGCGAACCCAGCCAGCTTTTTTTTTTGATACAGGGCCTAGAACGCACTATGTAGACCAGGCTAGACAGGAACTCACAGAGATCCACCCGCCTCTGCCTCCTGAGTGCTAGGTCCATCTTCATTTTTCATTTTATTTTACTTTTTGTGAATTTCATACAATATATTTTGATCATATTTAGATTCCCTCTTGTATCTGCAGCCTCCTTCCAACCCACCTACCAGATTTCTGTGTGTATGTATGCCTCTAGAATCAGTTTTGTGCCAACCCCAAGTGCCCTTTGGTATGGGTTCATCCCCTGGAGCCTGATCAACCTACTAAGAGTCTCACCCTTTAATGAGATTGAATCGCCCCTTTCCAGCAGTCACCAGTTTCCAGTAGTTCCTCAGGTTAGGGTTGGGGTTTTTTTACCCACTTCCCCAAGGCTGCTGGGATTCTGTCTTGCTTGAGCTTACGTGGGACTTGTGCATGCTGTCAGCATTGCTGTAAGTTCATATGAGTAATTGACCAGCTGACTGGTCAGCTTGTGGTCATCTACGTCCTCTAGTTCTTACAGTCTTTCCACTCCCTCTTGTATGATCCCTGAGCCATGGGGGGCAGAAGTAATGGCGTCCTATTCAGGGAGAAGCGGTCTGCAGCCTCTTGTTCTCTGCACATTGGCCAGTTGTAGTTCTCTGTTAATCACCATCTGCTGCATAAGGAATCTTCTCTGCTGAGAGCTGAAAGATGCATTAATAAGTCATTAGAAACAATACATCATTATAAATCAGTTTAATGCTATATCTATTTAGCAGAATAGTATAGGCTTTCTCCCTATGGCCTGTGGTCTATCTAGCCGCAGGCTCCTAAGCTCAAGCCTCAGTTTAGGTATGGGCTCCATCCTATGAAGGGGACCTTAAATCCATTTGGAAAGTGGTTGGTTACTCCTATAATATTTGTACCACTATTACACACAGGCATTTCTTCCAGGGCAGTTGAAACCATTATGTTTTTGAGACAGGGTGTCTCACAGGGGAGCTCACTGATTTGGCTAGACTGGCTGACCTTTGATCTCCAAGGATCCTTTTCTTCCTGCTTCCCCAGCTGTGGTATACAAGGTATAAATAATACCTTGCCTGACTTTTTACATGAGTACTGGGAATCTGGACCTCATACTTGACAGCATGTGCTTTACTGACTAAGCCATCTCCCCGGGCCCCTCTCATGGTTTTGAAAAACAACCTTGCTTCCACTATTATTTTCCTGAAATTTACCTGCTAGTATCTGGGCTGGCTGCATGCATAGAACTGAATGACCAGGACCCTCCTGGCTTAGTGGACTGAGGTCTCAAGGGCCCCTGAGGCGGTCACAGCTTGGGCTCTCAGACCTGTACTTGTATTTCTGCAAAACTTCCTCACTTCCTGTCAGTCCTCTGCCGCCTCCTCCCCAATGATCCTTTGTGCACAGGTTGACATGTGGCTTCCTTTGCAGCCCCCAGAGCACCAGGAACCTTGGGTATGCTTACGTTGGCTGGGCCCTGTATGTGCACATGCACATATGGGCAGTGTGTACATAGTGGGTCACTGTCCGAAGCGTGCTGCTGATGTGTGTGGCCATAGGCCTAGCAGCATCTGGACCACTGCTGTTCACTCTTGTCCCTGGATCCTGTGGTTGGAGTTCAGCTTTCCCCATAATCACCAAGCAGGCTAAGAGGGAGGTCTGTGCCCCAGTGTACTTGTCGCAGTCACTTTGTTCAAAGCTGTGAGCTGGAAGAGAAGCCTGTGTCCTCTCCTGCCCCCCTGCTCTGGTCTGTGTGGCTCTTGCACATCAGAAATCTCTGTTCAGTTGTCCCCACTTGGGCCTTTACATGTGGGTCCTTTGTGCCACTAGTCTCCCCTTCCCAAGCTGCATCTTTCCCTGCCGGTAAAGTGCCTCACTCCAGCATCCTTCCCCCTTCCCGTTTGGAGGCACACACAGCTTCAAACAAGCTTTTTGCCGCGCTGGGCAGAGCTGCTGGAGGCCAGCGTGAGGTGTGGCCCTCCCATTGTGGGTAGGAGACAGTGTACACAGAAAACCAAAAGAGAGACAGTTGGAGTGGAGAGGATGACTGCCTGCCCTCACACTTGCCAGGTTTGAGGCGCTCTCTGCCTGGACTTAAGGGCTGTCAGAGGTAAAGCGGGACTCTCCTGCAGCCTGGGTTGGTAACTCTGAGAGGAGAGCTGCCAGGCCATGACTTGTTGGGGTGGCAGCTTCTCAGGGGGCTGCTGTGTTATGGGTGTTGCATGTTGGTTAACTTTAGCCCACCCCTGTTCCTAGGCTGTGGTTTGGGGGGAAAGTGAGCTTCCCAGGTGGGTGCTGGGTCCTGGGTACTGCAATATTGGTTAACTTACCTCTGTTTCCTAGGCCATGGTAAAGGGTAAGCTCCCCAGGTGGTTGATGGGGCCTGGGTGCTGCATGTTGGTTAACTCACCCCTGTTTCCTAGGGTAAAAAAGAAGAAAATGATGTGGTGGAGAAGCTGAATCTCTTCTTGGATTTGCTCCAGTCCTACAAAGTGAGTCTCTCATTTCTGAGCATGAGCTCAGGATTGGTCAAGGGCGTGAGTCCAAGGGAACAGAGGTTCAGAGCCACGCCATGCAGGAAAGGGGCCAGGGGGACGCAAAGAAACATCTTCTGACCCCAGGTAGAGAGCACTGACATGACCAGAGGAAGGATTCCATGAGTCCAGCCTGGAGAGCCTGTGCAGTTACAGTGAGCACAGTGACTCATAGGCACTGTGCCATTGAAGGGCGTGGCCCCCACTCCCCAGACAGTTTTTTTACCTCTTGCATAATCTTGGGAAGCCAGAATCTTGAAATCCTGCTAGCCTCCCCCTGTCCTCCACACGGGAGTGTTAATGGACCTTGTCTCATGCGGCCCTTGTGGGTGCTCAAGCTGCCCTGCTTCAAAATGGCAGTGGCCATGTCCAACCTGGAGGAAACCCATCTGCCTGAGGTTTCCCTGGGCTAGCCTGGGGCTCTTGATAGCATCCCAGCAAGCTCCAGAGTTGAGGTGGGCACGATTGCTGTGGGTGGTAGACGCTGAGAGATATGAAGCTCTCCCTATGTGTCTGGGGGCCTGGCCCACTCAGAAGGAATTTGCTTCTTCATGTGGGTGAGGAAATCAGGCTGAGCTCCCAGCCAGGGAAGCATTCTAAGTGTCCAGTGTCCTTGAAGGGATGGGTTGCCTTATAGGCCAGAGAAATCCTTCCCATTGAAGATCTCCAGGAGAGCTGGCCCAGTACTTACTGGGAATGTTCTGGAAAAATTCCTCTATTGAATGGAGTGGTGGTAGATGCCCTTTGTAGAATTCGTGCATTGATTCTTAAGCTTGCGTTTTCTGTCTTTTCTTTTTTGTTGTTTGCTTGTTTTATTTTTTTTTTATGTGTATGAGTGTTCTGCCTATATGTATATAAATGTACTTTGATATGCAATGCCAGTGGAGGCCAGAAGAGGGTGTCAGATCCCCTGGAACTGGAGTACAGATGTTTGTTAGCTGCCATGTGAGTGATGGGAACTGAACCCAGGTCCTCTAAAGAGCAGCAGTGCTCTGAACTGCTGAGCCAGCTTTCCAGCCTGTTGTTTTCTCAGACAGGGTCTCACTAAGGTGCTGTGGCTGGCCTTCACTGTATAACTCAGGTTGGCCTTAAACTTGCTTTGATCCTTCTGCCTCAGCCTACCTAGTGCTGGATTACAAGTATGCACCACCTTTCCTGGATGCCTGTAAGGTTTTTTTTTGAGATAGGGTCTCACTATGTGGCCTTGGCAGACCTGAGACTCACTATGTAGACCAAGCTGGCCTTGAACTCATAGAGATCCATTTGCCTCTGCCTACAGAATGCTGGGATTATTAAAGGCATGTGCCACCACACTTGGCCTGTAAGGTTTTTTTACTGTGGCTTTGGGCACACAGTCCTGCTACCTTTGAGACACTAGCTCTCTGGAGTTGGTGGTATGTTATAGCCTGAGGTTTAAGATTGCCCCAAGGTACTGAACTATATACAAAAACTGAGGGATTCTGGTTTGGGGCCTGTGTGCAGTTTGCCCTTATCCAGACTAGCATGGGAAGATAGGGTCTTAGTGGGGCCTGACTCTACATCAGGATGTGGTTTGATTTTGTCCCTCCCTCCCTCCCTCCCTCCCAACTTATTACATTGATTTGTGTCTCTGTGTGCAGGCACACAAGGAGATCAGAGGACAGTCTTTGAGAGAATTGGTTCTTTTGTGGGTTCTGGGGATCAAACTGAGGTCATCAGGCTTGGCAGCAAACACTTACCTGCTGAGCTATCTCACCACCACCGTGAACTCTTCCTGAGTAGAAGCCAGTCCTCCGAAGGGCCCTTATGGCTTTCTTTTTCACCCTCGCTGCCAGTTGGCATGAGCCTTCTCCCTGCTACCTCTGCTTTCCTTGTGTTCTGCTCTCCTTCCGGAGATAGGGGAACCTAAAATACACAGTGTGAAGGTCTCAGAGTCCCAGACTCTGGGTCCTTTTGAGGTTACCTCCACAAGTGGGTGTGCTATTCCTCCCTCCCCTCAGGACCTGTGTGAGAGACATGAGAAGGGTGTGTTGCACAAGCACCAGTGGGCGCTGCACAAGTACGGCCTGATGAAGAGGCAGATGATGAGCACCGCACATCGTGAGCCTGAGTCCGTGGAGCAGCTGGAGTCTCGAATTGTGGAGGTGAGCAGCCAGGAGGAGGCAGGGCACAGCAGGTAGCAGGCAGAGCTGCATGTGGGATCATCCCATTAGCCTTTCCTGGCTAGCTATGTGAGTTTGGCACCGCAGGTACCCCTGCCCAGATCTGGGCTGGGTGTGGTGGAGGTGGGGAGCTACCCCAGGTAATCCTGGCCCTGCGTTCCCTTGGATTCCACTCCAGTGGTTGGAAGACACAAGTGCCTGGGATCAGGGCAGATGCTCCGACCTGCATCTGTGATCCAGTGCACAGGTCAGCTCTCTGCTTGCAGCAGGAGAATATGATCCAGACCATGGAGCTCCGGAACTACTTTTCCCTGTACTGCCTGCACCAAGAGACACAGCTCGTCCATGTCTATCTGCCCCTCACCTCGCACATCCTGGGCGCCTTCGTCAACTCCCAGATCCAAGGACACAAGGAGGTGAGCTGCTCCTGTACCCATCACGGCTGACACCTTCCTATCTCTAGCTGCCCAGCCTGCTAGCCAGTCACCTTGAGAATGGAGCTGGGATATACACGGGCCTGAAACAGTTTTTTTAAAAAATATTTTTATTTTATGTGTATGAGTGTATTGCCTGTATGTAAGTGCACCCAGGTTGTGCAGTGCCTGTGGAGGACAGAAGAGGGTGTTGGATACCTTAAAACTGGAGTCATGGGGGGCTGGAGAGATGGTTCAGCGGTTAAGAACACTGGTTATTCTTGCAGAAGACCCGGGTTCAAATCCCAGCACCCACATGACAGCTAACAACTGTCAGTAACTCCAGTCCCAGGGGATCCGATAGCCTCTTCTGATCTCCGGAGGCATTGTACAACATGGTGCACTTACCTATATGCAGGCAGTACATGCATACACAAAATAAAAATAATAAAAATTTTTTTTAAAAGTTTAAAGAAAAAACTGGAGTCATGGATGGTTGTTAGCCATGGGTGCTGGGATTCGAACTCAGGTCTTCTGCAAGAACAACCAGTGTTCTTAACTGCTGAGCCATTTCTCCAGCCCCTATTAAAATTTTTTAACATTTATATATTGTATGAGGAGAAAGGCACATGTGTCATGGCACATACATGTGGAGGTCAGAGGACAACTTAAAGGAGTCAGTTCTCCCCTTCTACTATGTGGGTTACAGGTATTGAACTCTGGTCTTCAGGCTTGTCGGCAAGCATTTTTAACTGCTGAGCCATTTTGAAGGCCTGACCTTGGACTTTAATGCCTTTACCTCCACATCCCTAGTGCTGGAATGACGTGCATGCATGTACGACCTAGTGCATGCATGTATGACCACACCTGGTTTATGTGGTGCTGGGAATCCAAGCACAGGGCTTTGTGCATGTTAGGCAAGTGCTCTGCTATCTGAATTATATCCTCAATCTCTAAGGACCTCTTCTGACTGTGTGGGGCTGTTGTCTGAAAAGTCCATGAGGTAGGACCCCACTGGCTTCCATTGTTGGCCTGGGTGTCATGGTTACAGATGGAGAGTCACCCCCTAGCAGCATCCAGCCAAGCTCTGTGACTGGGTAATCAACTGATTATGACTGGACCCTGTCACCAAGGAACACACCAAGGTAGAGGTAGGCTAGTTAGCAGGGAGGGGAATGAGTCTCATGCACTGACCTGGCTTGTCCAGTGTCTTGGGGTTGGGGCAGAGTTCCCACATGGTGGGCTGGAAACAGTGCATGATCTCACCTTTGTGGTTAAGAAGGGTTACTGCAGCTGAGGGAACCAGTGTAAATGATGGCTGTGCTCCAAGTCAGGTGGGAGCCGTGATGACTGAAGGATGAGTGGCCGACCTAGACTGTGATCTGTATAGTCATGCCAGAGCCACTGGGTGTTAGCGCAAGATACTGACTTGGGGTGCACCGTCTGTCTGGGTTTATTGGAGCAGTGACTAGTAGTGTTAGTGGAACATATGCTGGCTGGACTGTCCATGCTGTGTGAGAAATCCCAATGACTCAAGGCAGTTTTGTGATGCTCATCCTGCCCAGTAACTTTTGCAGCATCCAGGCAAAATAACATTTATCTTCAGCTAGGGTTTTGACTCAGTCAGTAGAGTGCTTGCCTAGTATGCAGGGAGCCCAGGGTTCCACCCCCAGCACCGCATAACCCAGGTTTAATGGTGTGTGCCTGTAATCCCAGTGTTTGGGAGGTGGAGGCAGGAGGATCAGAAGTTTCTAGTCATCCTCATCCTCTGCTACATAGCCATACAGGAAAAGGGAAAAAAAGGGGGGGGGGCAGGGAAGAGTCACGTGACCTTGGCTTAGCTGATAAGGATACTTCCCACTAAACCTGATGACCTGAGTTCCATCCCACAGGGTGGATGGAGAGAGCCAACCTCTGCAGTTTGTCCTTTGCTCTCCACCCACATGCCCAAATACACCCCCCACCCCCCCCACATGACTATAGTAAAAGAAAAAAATTTTTTTTGGTCTTTTTGAGACAGGGTCTCCCCGTAGCCCCAGCTATCCTGGAACTCACTATGTAGACTAGGCTGGCCTTGAACTCACAGATACACGCCTGCCTCTGCCTCCTGAGTGCTGGGATTAAAGGCGTGCACCACCACACCTGGCAGTAAAAGAACTTTTTTAAAAAGTATGTGTGGGTGGGGATGGGGATGTGTGCTGAGGATCCAACTCAGCCTTGTGCCTGCTTGGGAAGCACTCTATTCCTAAGCTGTATCCCAGCCCTGCTTTTAGTTTTTGGAAAACAAGTTCTCACTATGTAACCCAGGCAGGTCTGGAACTTGGGAATCTTCCTGACTCAGTGCCCAGAGTGTCCAGAGCACTGAGAGGAAAAGGGCTAAAGGGCTAATCTGCTTATGGAGACTGGTGGGGCGTGGTGGGGGGTGCGTGCGTGCGTGCGTGTGATGGGCCACCCTCCTGACCTCGGTTCCTTCTTCTCACAGATGAGCAAGGTGTGGAATGACCTGACGCCAAAGCTGAGCTGCCTCTTTCCTGGACCTCACAATGTGCTAACGCCACCTCGCTCCCCACAGGAGGATGGCATGTGTCCCCACTAGTGTCGAGGCCCTCAGCAGAGCTCCTTGCGGCCTCACTAAAACATCTTTGTAAATGGTGTGGTCCCTGGCTGATTCACTCCAGACACTGCTCCGAGCTGCCTGTGGTTGGGGCTGAAGCACAGGAGCCCATGCCCATTAGAGCCTGCTGGCTGTGCTGGTGGCCTTCTGTCTCCCCCGTCTTTCCAGGGAGGTCTGTGTCCTGTCACCCCTCGAGTCTGCCTTGTGGCCTGTTGGTAAGGTCTGTAGTGGGAAGTTAGAGTAATCCAGGATGGGTTGCTCCCAATGCCTGTGGTGCTAAGGGCTGTTTGTACCCAGCAGGTGGTGTCTGGGGGAGTATGGAAGGGGCCCTGCATGCTGGGACAGCCCAGGTAGGGGAGTGGCATGCTGGCTTGCCCTGTGGCCTGTCAGCAGTGCTGGGCAAGGAGCTGGCTGCCCAGGGTGGGAAGATGAGCCATGGACCAAAGCCCATAGATACTATGGGAGATACAGTAGGCAGGATAGAAAGTGAGGCTGATGAGGAAGAGAATTGGGTGCACAGTGCTACTCAGAGATCAAACGTTGCTAAGTGTTGCTCCAGTTACGATCCATGGAACCCTAATGCGAGACTGACCTGTGGTATCGGTGTTGCCGAGTTGCCCCCTCTTCATACACTGGGATCCTGTGTGCAAGACATAGGTGCTCCAAGATCTCCAGCAGTGGTGTGCATAGAGGCTTCTCCTGTGTCTGAGGGTAGACACCGCTCTGTCACTTTCCTGGTTTGGAGATAGCTGGTGTCACTCTAGGGCACTAAGTCTAGAGATGGGACAGGGGACAAGTGCCAGCAGGGGACAGATGGAGGCATGGAGAAGTGTTTGCATTTGACTGAACGTTCAGCGTTAGGCATCTGTGTGTTGGGGTGCCTTGCCTTTTAGGCTGTTGCCTCCTTGGGTGATGTCATCCCTCCTTGCAGCCTTCTTCCCACCTGCCTGAGGAAACCAGTCGTCTTTTCTGGCTACCTCCTCCTCCAGGCTGAAGAGTGCTGTTCTTAGAGCTCTGTGGGGTCAGGCAGGCCTGGGTCCTTTCTTTGAGATTGTCTGAGTGTCCTCTTTGGCCAGAGAGTTAGATGATCTGACAGACCTGCAGAGACACCTACTGGCCTCCCTCAGGATGTGGGAGTCTGTGTTCTGCCAGGAGCTTTTGTGGGCCATGTGGGAAGACACGGAGACTTGGCCCCTTCCTGCCAGATGGATTCCTGTGCCTCTCTTGCAGGCTGGGTGGAGTATATATCTTTTCCTGTGACCTCCCTGTGGAAAACAGTTCTTAGTCACCATGTGACCTGTGATGCTCAAAGAAATATTTCCTAAACAGCAAGACATACCTGAGCATTCAAGGTGTTAGAATTTTGCAGGGTGGGAATGAGGAGGGGTGGAAAGGTAGAGCTGGGTGCCCAGGCCTTTGGAACAGGGTGTGGCTTGCTTCCCACTGGCTGTCAGGCAGCAGAGTTCTATCTGGATGTGAGCCCACCCTGATGCTTTAGGAAGGTCTGGGGTGGAGCCTGGTAACAGCCTACCTTTTCACAGTCACTCCATGACTCTGGGCTGCCAGTGCCTGACCCCAAGCTTGTAGAAGATCACATTTGCCCCCATCTCCAGGGCCAGGCCCCATGGTACAGGGAACCAACAATTTACAAACTCTTCCGCCCTCAGTCCAACCCTGCATGCCATACCACAGCCATGTTTGGCAGAAAGATGGCCAAGTGCAAGTCTCATGGGAGATCTCTCCTGTTCTGTTCTCCTGGGCTGAGTGGGCCTCAGCTGCAGTCTTAACTGGACAAGGTGTTTCCTCCAGGCACAGCCTACTTGGTGCTAGCCAGCCCTGCTGAGTGGGCCAGACAGGGCCTGTGGGGCTCTGGGACAGTGCTGTGGGGACTCTGGGCAGATGGAGTCAGGATATTGGTGCTGCGGGAGTCTGCCTGCTGATGTATGAAGCACTTTATGGGCTGCGGGAATCAGTTACTGCCACACCTAATAAACTGTAATTGTTTACAAATGGCTTCATATTTTACGTTTGATCTATAAACCTCCATGAACAAGGTTCATCATGTTTTGGAAACTGGAATCCTAAGTTTCTGGGATGGGCAGTTGTATGCTTTCCAGGTGGTACCCATGAGGGAGAGCTTCATACCAACTCCTTCTGAATTCAGACATTCCCTCCTGGAAGGAGACTCAGAAGACTCAGGAAGTAAGCAAGATGTAGAAGTCTCAGAAATCTGAAACAAGATTCATAAGGCCCCTCCCTAAGGTTATACAAGGTGCAAAAAGTGCTGGGAAGAGGAGACCCCTATGGAGCTGCCTGTGAGTTGTGCGGAGCTCCAGGGATGCAGTTTTCGTGAGCTCTCACCCATGCTGGGGTGAGCTTTTCCAAGGTGTAGCTGCCTTTGAGTTGTCATCTCACCCACACTCCTGTAAGTAATCCCAATAAACTCATCAGTTTACCAAGTTGGAGTTTGGTGTAATCATTTCTTTGGTCTGTCCTTGATATCTCAGTTTAGTTTGTTCTGTTGCTGTGATCAAATACTCTGACAAAAGCAGCTTAGGTGACAATGGGTTTATTTCAGCGCACAGTTCCAGGTCACAGTCTATCACTGTGGGAAAGGCACAGCGACTGGAGCTGTAGACAGCTAGTCACCTCCCAGCCACAGTCACACTGAGAAATCAATGCATGCATGCTTGGTTGTTCTCAGCCCACCTCCACACACATACAGTTCAGGAGCCACTCATAGTGGGCAGGTCTTCCCACCTCAGTATAAACAAGACACTCTACCACAGACATGCCCACAGGCCAGCCTGATCTAGACAGTCCCTCATGGAGGCTCTCCTCCCATGTCATTGTGGATCATGTCAAGTTGACAAAACTAACCTCATCTGGATTGTATAGGAGTTTGTTCATGTTTCCCCAAAGTCAAAGCTCAACATGTTTCAGGCTAGACCACTTCCTCCAGGACCTTTTTCTCACACTGTAAAAAGGGAGGAGCCACCTTCCTGCTAGCTTGTGACCCTGGCCTTCCCTCAGTTCTTCCGGGTCTGCAAAAGGGCAGGCCACATCAGCATGCCTGCAGCTTCCTATGGACAAGACTGGACACACAATACCCTGAGTGGTCACCAGAGCCAGCAGCAGCAGCAGCAGCAGCAGCAGCAGGATGGGCCCCAGCAGTGACGAGCATTGAGGCTGTAGCCAAGGCTAAAACTGCAAATCCTCTGGTTCAAAGAGCCGTATCAGGCAGGACTTGGAAACTGCTAGATGCAGGCTTTTTTCACCCCACCCTCTTGACAGCCAAGAGCTGTTATGTATCAGACAGGACTTGGAAACTGCTGGATGCAGGCTCTTTTCACCCCACCCTCTTGAGAGCCAAGTGTCTGCTTTCCTATAAACACCATGCAGCACTGGAGCCTGCCTCCCCCATCCCCCGGAATGCTTTTGCCTCAGTCTTTCCAGGCTCCAAGTTTAGCAGCCTCTCCTGATTGGTTCTAACCTTTACATCTTACCTGCTGGCCCATGCCAGTTAGGGTCCGCCTGGGATATATAAACCTTTCAGTCAGTTTGGCACCTGTTATCATCTGGCACCTGTTACCATCTAGGAGTCTTTTTTTCTTTTAAATTTATTTTATGTGTATGAGTGTATTGCCTGCATGTATGTGAGTGCACCCGTGTCGTGCAGTGTCTCGGAGGTCAGAAGAGGGTATCAGATTCCCCTGGAACTGGAGTTAAGGATGGTTTGTAGCTGCCATGTGGATGCTGGGAATCAAACCCCGATCCTCCAAGAGCAGTCAGTACCCTAACTGCTAAGCCATCTCTCTGGCCCTACCATCTAGGAGTCTTAATCAGGTTCATTTTCTCCACCAATTTTATATATATATATATATAATTTTATTTAATGTGTATTAGTGTATTATCTGCATGTATGTGAGTGCACCCATGTCATGCCATGCCTATGGAGGTCAGGAGGGCTTTGGATCCCCTGGAGCTGGACTTAGGATGGTTGTTAGCTGCCATGTGGGTCCTGGGACTCAAACCTGGGTCCTCTGCAAGAGCAATCAGTGCTCTTAACTGCTGAGCTAACTCCAACCTTTTCCACCAATTAAAGAATTAAAAGGGGTCTGGAGAGATGGCTCAGTGGTCAAGAGCACTGGCTGCTCTTACAGAGGACCCAGATCCAGGTCCCAGCACCCACATGGTGGCTAACAGTTGGTAACTCCAGTTCTAGTGGACATGGCCTCAACAAGCACGCTTTCATACATGCAAGCAAAACACACGTAACATAGAAAATAATTTTAAAAACATTTAAAAGAGGGCTAGAGCCGGGCATGGTGATGCATGCCTTTAATCCCAGCACTTGGGAAGCAGAGGCCAGCCTGGTCTATGTAGTGAGTTCCAGGTCAGCTGGGGTACAGGGAGACCCTGTCTCAAAAAGACCAAAAAAAAGGAAAAAAAAGGGCTAGAGAACACTGGTTGTTCTTGCAGAAGACCTGGGTTCGAATCCCAGCACTCACATGGCAGCTAACAACTGTCCGTAACTCCAGTCCCAGGGGATCCGACAGCCTCTTCTAACCACCTCGGGCACTGCACGACCTGGGTGCACTTACCCACATGCAGGAAATACACACATATAAGATAAAAATAATAAACTTAAAAAAAATTTAAAGAATTAAAAGGCAAGAAGAATGTCAGATACAGCAGACAAATTTGATTAAAAGTAAAGAAATAAACTCACACAGGAAGATTCCCAAGTGGCAAGGGGATTTGGAAACTGAAATCTAAAGCTCCTAGGGGGGGCTTGGGCCGGTGAGTCCCTCACCCCTGATTTTGGATTGGCCAACTTGTAACTTCAAGTGAGGGTATGTCCAATCCTGGCCTTGGACTTAGCTAAACTGGTTTGAACCAGTCAGCCAGGAGAAGTGGCCCTACTAGCTGGAGAGGAGGTCCTCAGGCCTTTGTAAAGAAGCTGGAAGTTTGTCATCTGTTTCTTCTTTGTGGTCCTTTCCTTTTATATTGGTTGTTCTGTAGGGATATGTCAGCTTCTGGCCCTTCCCTCCCAGAGGGCTGGCTCTCGGCTAGATCAGCTCTAAGTGCAGATAATTTGCACTTAGCTCTTTGGAAAGACCTCACAGACTTGCTGGACGTCCTTTCAGAGGAAAACTGGCCCTTCCATGAGACACTGCTCATCTTCAGTGGTTCCCTCCTCAAAACCTATTGGGCCAGGCATGGTGGTGCATGCCTTTAATCCCAGGGGAGGCAGAGGCAGGGGGATCTCTGTGAGATGGAGGTCAGCCTGGTCTACAGGCCAGCAGGGTATATAGGGAGTCCCTATCTCAAAAAAACCTACTAGCTAAAACAAAAAACTCCATCTATCTTGAGGCTAGAGAGATGGCCCAGTGGTTAAGAGCCCTTACTGCTCTTGCAGAGGACTGAGGTTCATTTCCCAGCATCCACATCTGCCCATTACTGCTCTTGATGCTACAGTCAAATAGCAATTTAGGAGAACAAGAGTTTATTTTGGCTCATAGATCCAGGGGCTACAGTCCATCATGGCAGATAAGGTCACAGCTCCTCAGGTAGCAGAGAGCAGAGAGGACAGGTGCCTAGCTATAAAACCTCAAGGCCCACCCCTAGTGACTCAGTCCTAAAGATACCACCACATTCCCAAACAGCACCATTTTGGGGACCAAGTATTTAAAGGTGCAACTCCAACACCTTCCAAACAGAAAACACCTCCCCCTTCTTGTGCTGCCCTGAACACCATGGCCAGCAGCTGTGCAGCAACCTCAGTCCCCAGGTGGGACCAGACAGGTCCCTGTGCTAGAGTTCATCCACCTCATGCAGTGAATGTTCTAGAATTGTGTCTTGATCCTGGAACTTGAAGTACCCCTGGAACTTCTTCTTCTGAAGCAGGAGTGGGAACCAGTAGCTGTCATCAGGCCACATGTGCTCAAAGGGGATCTGGTCCAGCTGGAACCACTGAGGGCACATTTCTGTATCAAGGAAAGAAAGGACGAGTACTCCACTGATCTCAGAAGGATTACCCCAGTTCTCATGGGGGGCCGTTTGTTTGAAATGCTTTTGTTTTTGTTTTGTTTGAGATAGGATCTCCTTGTATAGTCCTGGCTGGCCTGGAACTCCCTATGTAAACCAGCTGGCCTCAAACTCAGAGATCTGCCTGCCTCTGTCTCCCAAAGGAGTGCGTTGCTATGCCCAGTTTATTAACTAGTTTACTGAGATAGTCTCTTTTGCAGGAATTTCAGGCATGCACCACCCATACTGGCTTATGCCAGTGTTGAGAATGGCGCTCCCATCCCCATAGGGATGGTGCAGGTTAGGCACCCTACCAAAGGAGCTATGCCCCCAGCTGTATTTTTTATTTCTATTTTAAATCTTTTTAAAACAGGGTCTCCCTGTAGTCCTAGCTGGCCTGGAACTCAGCTGACCTTGAACTCACAGAGATCTACCTGCCTCTACCCCCCCAAGTGCTGGGATCAAATTGTTTTATTTTTATGGAGTAAGAAAACAGGATTATCTATGGCTACAAGGCAGGCCTTAGGGCTTTTCCTCCTAGCCAGGTAAGTGAGGCCGGGTGCCCCTCCCCGCCCAAGATAGGGAGTAGGGAGTGGGGCCCAAGACTCACCTTCACTCTCTCTGGGTGTCCCGTGTACAAGGTCAGTATAGAAGATATGAACGTCCATCAGCTCAGGGACACCCACAAACTCAAATACGATGTGGCCCACCTTGTACAGTGCATCCACCGTCAGACTGCTCTCTTCCAGCAGCTCCCTGCAGCAGAAATGGGTGAGGAGAGAGGCAGCTGTTTGGAAAGACACAGCATGTATGCCCAGGGGCCCAGAGCTTCAAGAGTGCTTCGCAGAAGTTCCAGCTGCATCTTCTCTTGAGGACACCATCCCGAGGCATGGGTATATCCAACCTGGCCCAACTTGGGAATTAACTTGGGAATTAACTTGAACTTTGTAAATCCAGGAATGGTGGTGCGTGCTTATAATCCCAGCACTCAGGCAGCTGAGGCAGGAGGATTTTGGCTTTGAGATCAATCAGCTACATAGTTAAAGGCCATAAAAATAAAAGGCCACAAAGACCTAAAAAATTCAATTCTTGAGGGCTGGCTGGTGAGATGGCTCAGAGGGCAAAAGTGCTTGCTGTGCAAGCCTGATGACATAAGTTCACCCAAAATGCACAAAGATGCAACAGAGTCAGCTCCACAAAGTGGTTTTCTGACCTCCACACAGACACATAGCATGTGCACCAAAACACACACATCATGGGTGTACACACAGTAGTAATAAATACAAATGGACTTTAAAGAAATATCAGGGTCTGGAGAGATAACACAGCAGTTAAGAGTACTGGCTATTCTTGCAGAGGACCTGGGTTCAGTTTCCCACCCACAGTGCAGCTAACATCCAGCTGTAACTCTGGTTCCAGGGGATCCGATGCTCTCTTCTGGCCTCTGTGGGCACTGCACTTATGAGCACACTTGAGTACATGCAAGGCAAAACATGCACATAAAATAAAAATAAATAAGAATTTAAAAATTAGAATTTGTAGTGCATGTCTATAATCCCGACTGTTCGAGGCTGAGGCAGGGGGATTGCCATAAGTACAAAATCATCTTGGGCTATGTCTTTAGGCGTGGGAGCTGTGATTGTATTCAAAATGGCCTGTGTTGGCTTACACATAATCTTGGTGGCTGCATGGCTGTTTGCTTAAGGCAGACAGCAGCAGCAGGCGCAACCCAGGAACTGCCAGTTAGGAAGTCATATTGCCTCAGCCAGGCTTGGGATATAGCTTAGTGGTAGAGTGCTTGTCTAGTATGCATAAAGTCCTGAGTTCAACCCCCAGCACTGCCTCTTCCCAATAAAAAAGGCTATCCAATCTACCAGATTTACTTATTTACCAGAAAACAAACAACTTAGGATAAAAACTTAAGTTATCATTGGGCTGGAGAGACAGCTCAGTGGTTAAGGCATGGTAGGGCATGCCCATAATCCCAGCAAATCTCTGTGAGTTCAAGGCCAGCCTGGTCTACATAGTAAGGTCCAGGCCAGCTGGGGCTACAGGGAGACCCTGTCTCAAAAAGACCAAAAAAAAAAGAGCACAGGTTCTTCTTGTAGATGACAGATGTGGCGGCTAACAACTGTCCTTAACTCCATTTCCAGGGAATCTGACACCTTCTTCTGGCCTCTATGGGGTCACTGCATGTATGTATGCACATACATATATTCAGGCAAAACATTCATGTATAAAATAAAGATAAATACATTTTTCTTTTTGGTCTTTTTGAGACAGGGTCACCCTGTAGCCGTAGCTGGCCTGGAACTTACTATGTAGACTGGGCTGGCCTCGAAGTCACAGAGAGCCACCTGCCTCTGCCTCCCAAGTGCTGGGACTAAAGGCATATGCTACCACACTCAGCCATAAATATTTAAATAAATTAAAAAATGGGCTGGGGTTGGAGAGCTGGCTCAGCAGTAAAGAGCACTGGCTGCTCTTGCAGAGGACCTGGGTTTGGTTCCCAGCACCCACATGACAGTTAATAATCAGTAACTTCACTTCTAGGGGAATCCAACACCTTCTCATCTCCATGAGCTTTACACAACACAGATGTACTTACACACGTGCAGGCAATACATTAAGACACATAAAATAAAAATATTATTAAAAAATTTGAAAATGGCTGGGCATGGTGGCACATACCTTTAATCCCAGCATTCAGGAGGCAGAGGCAGGCGGATCTCTGTGAGTTTGAGGCCAGCCTGGTCTACATAGCAAGTTCCAGGCCAGCTGGGGCTACAGGGAGACCCTGTCTCAAAAAGACAAAAATATAAAAATAAAAAATGGCTAGGTATGGTGGTCCTGCCTTTAATTCCAGCACTCTGGAGGCAGAGAGAGGTAGATCTTTTTGATTTGAGGCCAGCCAGGTCTACGTAGTTATTTCCAGGCCACCTGGTGCTACAGGGAGACCCTGCCTCAAAAAAAGTATATATATAAACTAATTATCATCAGTAGTAATAGCAATTAAATTTTTTTTGTTGATACCTTTATTTATGTGTATGTGTGGGGGGAGGAATAAAGTGATGTGACACAGTGTGCATGTAGAGTCCAGAGGACAACTTGTAGGACTTGGTTCTTTACCTTTCCAGGCATCAAAGTCTCATTTTCAGGCTGGCAACAGGCACCATTACCCACTGAGCTATCTCACTGGCCCACTAATAACGATTTAAGAAAATTGTGTGTGTGTGTGTGCGCGTGTGTATGAGAGAGAGAGCGAGGGGGGGAGGGAGG